GAAAAGTTTGAGTGAATGAATTTAGCAGTTTGCAATTCTGCTGAAGTCTTGTTTCCATGGTGAGTGTGTCTTCATTATTTGGTGGATTTATCTTCAGTGTTTTTGGGTAGTGTCATTTTTTCTATCCGTAAAGCCTTTTTGTTAAAAATAAATCTTAAAATTACATAATGGGGTGGCACAGTGGCTAGCACTGTCACCTCACAGCAAGAAGGTTGCTGGTTCGAGTCCCCACTGAGTCATTTGGCAATGCTGTGTGGAGTTTGCATGTTCTCCCCCGTGTTGGTGTGGTTTTCCTCGGGGTCCTCCGCTTTCCCCCACATTCCAAGGACATGCGGTGTAAGTAAATTGAATAAACTAAACTGTCCGTAGGCCGCGGTGGCGCCATAGGTAGCGAGATCAGTTCCCTCCGGGTGCTCCGATTTTCGATACAAGTCCAAAAATATGCGGTAGGGTAAGTTAAATTGTCCATAGTGTATGTGTGTGAATGGGAGTGTATGAGTGTTTCCCAGTGATGGGTTGCAGCTGAAATTATGCGCAGCATAAAACATATGCTGGATAAGTTGGTGGTTCATTCCGCTGTGGTGACCCCTTATAAATAAAGGGACTAAGCCGAAAAGAAAATGAATAAATGAAATTGGCCATAGAGCATACAGTAAGTGTGTGTGTAAATGCAAGAGTGTATGGGTGCTTCCTAGTACTGGGTTGCAGCTGGAAGGACATCCGCTACGTCAAACATATGATGGAATAATTGGCGGTTAATTTCGCTGTGGCAACCTCTGATAATTTAGACACTAAGCCAAAGGAAAATGAATAAATTTCGCAAGGGCTTCTAAAGAAGTATACGTGAATTTTACACTTAACAACACATGACACTTTATTTTTTTTGTGTGTGTGTGATTTAAAATTCACTGGGTTTAGATTGTTGCATTTACACAAAGAGAAACTACCAAAAACTACAACGGCATCATCACAACATTTTAATTACAATAACAATATTCAAAAATTTCTACTGAATTATTTCCTGTATTCCTCAATGGAGAAGATAAACATATATACAACTTATAATGATAATAATATATTAGTGGATTACTCAGTAAAATTATACAAATGTTCACTTTTTTTTTCCAAATACACAATGTAAATGCACACAGAGAACACAGAGATGACAGCATGTCAATCTATTGTTCCAAGACTTTGTTGTTTTTTTCTTTTTAGTTTTTTTTTCTTTAGCTATAATTAATATTATATTCACAGTGTTAACATTGTTTTACTGACAAAACAAGCAGCTGCTGTGTTTTTTGTTCTGCGGTGATGGATGTATTGTGATTCCTCAGCATGTAATTGAACAACTGCTTAAAGATTCTTGACTACACCATACAGTAATTATATACAACTGTTCCACCTGACTGTCAATCATTCTATTGTGCTCTGTAAGCTAATTTTCCATCTATACCAAGAAAGCAAATTCATCATAAATAAATAAATTAATTAATTTAAAATAATAATAATAAAATAAAATAAATACACTTCCACACCTCAATTGCATTTTTAGATATTCATGAAAAGCATCATATTAATTAATAATTGATTAATTAATTATTTGAAGCCAAATTTCAGAGGCACATTTGTTGCTGTTGATCTGCTAGCCAACTCTGTTGACTTACAATTGTGTATGATCATTTCTTATGTTATATTTTCTATATTAATTTTATTAAATCATTATTCTCTACATCTATACAAACACCTTACATGTATACAAAGATATAAGGTATTTTTGATTTAGACTGAAATTCAAAATGTAGGACCTGTATGTCTTTGAATTTGTACCTAAAGTTGTTTTCAAGGGCTGATATTTGCGAAGTTCTGCTCCGTTGTTTTTTCAAAACCAAAACATATCTTCCCTAGATTTATCTGACCTTGCCAATTTTGCGCCACCACTGACATAGCCTTCACACTGACCTAACTCTGGTGGAGGAACCATTTTAATATTTAGATTAGTGACATATCAGATAAGTTTGTTTGTCATTTACTGATCAGCATAAACATCTGGTGCTGATAAAGTCCAGAAAATAAATCAAAAACTTTGTCAAAACATTCTATGTGACTTCAGTGGTTCAAAAAATATGTAAAAATGATTGGTATGGTAATGTTTGATCCAAGATTTAATCCAAAATATTTTTATTTGTGTTCCGAAGATAAATGAAGGTTTTGAGATTGGAATGAGATGATGGTGAGTAATTCATTTAGTCTTAGACTAATGTATTTGCTGTTTATGTGAAGTTTTACATCATATCTGTTATACTGATTATCTGACTAATCACTTTCTAAAGTTAATTATTCACCTGTAATTTGGCTACCTTTTTCCATTTTGAACTTTTCTACAAAATAGTGGGTCACTCATCTGATAAACATTCTTTAACAGAAAAAAAGAAAAGAAATGTTAAAGGGGAAATGAACCACTCATTCAAGTTGGATTAGGTTCCACTTTAATGAAAATTCATTAAACAAACTTGAATAATGAAATTAGAAGAAAACACAGTGTTTTACTATAGCTTTTAGACCTAGAGTGCCTCCATCTTGGAATGTCGCTGTTTCTGACATCACGGGGTTGGTTCCGTTCCCTCAGCTGAACAGATACAATGTAAGTAATGGACTGAACATGGAGACTGGACAGCCTAACTTAACCCAAAACGTGAAGTTGTGGATGTGAAGCAGGATGTGTGTCTAATAAAAAAAAAAAAAAAAAAATATATATATATATATATATATATATATATATATATATATATATATATATATATATATATATATATATATATATATATATATATATATATATATGTGTGTGTGTGTGTGTATATATTTATTCAACAGTTCTGTCTGGTTCTCGAATCTGATTGGCTGATAGCCGTGCGATATTCTGCAATATCAGAACTCCTACAGCCTCTTTACTCTTTGTGTATTACTGCGCCCACATACACCCAGCAAAAAGCAGACACTACAGATCTAAAGTTTAAAAGATGCTTTTAACCTTTTTAACAGCTGTTTAACTGTCAGCTTATGATTTGAATCCAAGGCGGAAGAAAGTAGTTCCTCATACAAAAGGGTTTTTGAGACTCTCCATGTTTGATTTAGTTTTTATATACACAATTATGCCATCAAACTGTTGTATAAACGCAATATCACACTCGTAGCAGTGCGATATGGCTCATATGTATATATTTTTTTATATTCTATTTTTATTTATTCCCTTTGTATTAACGATTATTTGATGTGATTTGGTCCATTTTTTATTTAATTTTGCCTTAACTTATTGTATGGATTTCAACTATGGTAGTAATGGACTGGAGCCATAGACTGGACAGCCTAATTTAACCCAATGTATGAAGTTGTGGATGTGCCTCGCAGAGCTGGTGCAAATACAATAAATACAAGCATTTAAGTTGTGAGTGTATTTTTTTTTTAATACCTTTAGTTAGATGAGCTTTGGTCCACTTTCTCACAATGCTCCAGCGCTGCCAGACCAGGGGATTTACATTCAGATTAATGCATCGATTAAAATCATACATGACTTCACGCTTTATTAAGTCACGTGTTTGTAGATTATGTCAAGACATATTTCCTTTTCAAGTCGATCAAGTTGATCTTTCAACATGTATGAAGGATGTAAAAATCGGCCATGTGAAAAATCGTGCCAATCTTAGTTTGGTTTGAACACGAAAAGAGGTGAGGGCTGTAGTAGTGAAAAGTAAAAGTACTAATGTAATGTAATGTAATGTAATGTAATGTAATGTGTATTTATATAGCGCATTTATTGTGTATGGCAATACACCCAAAGCGCTTCACAATCATGAGGGGGGTCTCTCCACACCACCACCAGTGTGCAGCATCCACTTGGATGATGCGACGGCTGCCACAGGACAATGGCGCCAGTGCGCTCACCACACACCAGCTATTGGTGGAGTGGAGAGACAGTGATCGAGCCAATTCGGTGGAAGGGGATGATTGGGAGGCCATGATCGTATCGGCCGATAGAGGGACTTTAGCCAGGATACCGGGGTTACACCCCTGCTCTTTCACGAGAAGTGCCTTGGGATTTTTAATGACCACAGAGAGTCAGGACCTCGGTTTAACGTCTCATCCGAAAGACGGCGCCCACTGACAGTTTAGTGTCCCCTTCGATTTTACTGGGGCATTAGGACTCACACAGACCACAGGTTGAGCGCCCCCTGCTGGCCTCACTAACACCACATCCAACAGCAACCTAGTGTTCCCTAGTGGTCTCCCATCCAGGTACTGACCAGGCTCAGCCCTGCTTAGCTTTAGTGAGTAACCGGTCTTGGGCTGCAGGGTGACATGGCTGTGGCATTACTAGCTCCATTATGTCAGCACCAGACCTTGTTGAAACCATGGTTGAAACCCAGACATCGTCAGGCAGATTAATAGAGAGAGTGGACCAAAAATGCATCAACAGATTGTTAATTAAAGGCGAAAAAAGAAATATAGAATAAATAATTATATCCCTACTGAAAAATCCAGCTTAAACCAGCCTAGGCTGGTTGGCTGATTGTAGCTGGTTGACCAGCATGCTTTAAGAGAGGTTTTGGCCATTTCCAGGCTGATTTCCAGCCTAGTCTTAGCTGGTCAGGCTGGAAAATGACCAGTTAAATCCAGCTAAAACCAGCTTGACCAGCCTGGTTTTGGCTGGACTCCCAGCTTGACAAGGCTCATCAAGCTGGTTTTAGCTGGTCATCTACCAGCCTGACCAGCTAGGATCAGGCAGGAAATGGCTGGAAACCAGCTTGGAAATTGCCAAAACCCCTCTAAAACCAGGCTGGTCAACTAGCTAAAACCAGCCAATCAGCCTTGGCTGGTTTAAGCTTGATTTTTCAGCATGGTATATATATATATATATATATATATATATATATATATATATATATATATATATATATATATATATATATATATATATATATATATATATATTAGACGTCCATCTTTGCACCAGCCACATCCACAACTTCACACATTGGATTAAATTAGGCTTTATAGTCTCCGTGTTCAGTCCATTACTTTCACTGTCTGTTCAGCTGCAGGAAGATGGCGGTGCCCTAGGTCTAAAATCTATAGTAAAATATGCCGTTTTCTGCTAAACGGTTTTATTAATTGAGTTTGTTAGATATTTTCTATGAAAGTGAAAATCAATTTACAAAATAATGTAAACTTGAGTGAGTTCTTCATTTCCCCTTTAAGCAGGGGTACCTCAGGTTGAGTTGTTTTAAAATTACTCATCTGTAGGTATTTATTGGAGCAGACATTTGTTTACTCTGAATTGTCAGCAGGAACATGTCGTTGGCAGTCTGTGGCAAGACGAAGGGACACAGTGGCCTCCGTGCTGCTCGGGTTGACCCGGAAGCGATTGTGCGCAGGCTGGATAGCAACTATGAACTGTCTCTTAAAGGTCTTACTCAGAATTATATAGAGAAAAGGGTTAATGCAGCTGTTAGCATAGCCCATGCTAATGGCCACATGATAGACATAATAAAACGAGGCACTGGGTTTCTGTATTCCCAAATGGACAATCTGAAGGATGTAATATGGAGCCCAACAGATGAAAAAGGCCAAACAGATGGCCACAGCCATCCGAGTCACACTTTTGGTGCGCACCTGTTGGTTCCTCGGAGGAAGAGGTGCCACTGTGGTAGACATATGCTTTAAGATTTTAAAGAAAACCACACAAATAATCGTGAGTGGGAGGGCGAACGCAAGCACAAACTGATAGATGGTGAACCAGCAGATGTTGGTGGATGGATTTGGTAACAGGAGAGCACATCCCACCTGGCCACTGTGAAGAGGCATCAAACCAGTGTACATAAGGACAGGGGTGATGGAGATAAGAGAGAGTGCCCACACCGCCGCCACCACAGCACTGGCCACACAGGTTGTCCGCACATGGTTGAAGCGAAAAGGGTGGACAGTAGCCACATACCGGTCCAAGGTCATCACTGTAAGGATGTAAGTACTCACTGTCTGGCTGTTAGAATCTAAGGCAGATATAACTTTGCACATAGTGGCTCCAAAACACCAAGATCCATTGCCCAGGAGCTGATGGATGAGAAAAGGCATGCCGAGAAGAAAAAGCAAATCCACAATCGAGAGATTGAATATGAAAATGTCTGGTACTGTTTGTTTAGCCTGGCATTTAGTCTTTTTAATGATGGTGTAGACGACAATAGAATTTCCAGAGATACCCAAAAAACATATAATTCCAAAAATACTGGGCAAGATGGCATTTCCATACTGGTCATCCGTGTTCACTAAGCACACAACACATGCACATAGAAAAACCATAAACTTAAACTTAATGACCACAGCGCTTTCACATATTTATTCACAAAACACTGATATAGCTACTGAATATATGTTTATTTAACATATATAACTACACACATACTGATGACAACAGCAATAACAATAATTGATATATTTGCAGAATTATACAGATATGTAACTTTACAAATGTTAACTTTGCATTAAAACATTCATGACAAGTTCATACAGTAACTTCTGTTTCTGTATCACCTAATCTTTAAGTTAATTACTTCAGCATATCAAAAATTATTTCCTGCATTATCTCCTTACCTTGAATTTGTTTCGACGAGTTAGACAGACGCAGAGATGAGTTTTCAGAGTCTTCGGGGAAATCCATGGTGAAGACTGTGAAAGAAATGCCGTATCAACCTCTACCTCTGCAGACAGCAGAGCATCTAATAACTTTCTCACACGGAAAGTCACACCTTCAGCACCGCCTTACATTTGTTGTTTAGGCAGTTCTGTTTTCGCCGCACACGCACATAGGTACGCATTTAATAAAGTTACATTAAAACGAAACAATAGAAACTTGTTTGACGAGTGAGATGATGAGAAGCATCACCAGCTGCAGCAGCCTTAATACATGAATGTCTCTGTGCAGAGACGGGTTATAGCACAAGAGGACACCTCTAGTTGTAGAATGGAAACTGCACTTCTGTTCATGATGGGGATCAGCATGTGCAAACGTTCCCATTTTTACTAAATGTTTGCTGATGTTCAAACGTCGATGAGAGTTGTACGTCCTAAACTTGATGTTGTGTTCTTGACGCAGTGCCTATTCGATACATTATAGGCTTTTTATGTCTAATAAATATAAATTATTGAAATAATATGAATATAATAAATAAGAAATATAAATAAACATTAAATATAAATGAGAGTTGTTTATATTTAGGCAATATAATTCGGTCTATTTATCTTTACATTTTGGTAAAGCTGATAGTGACACACTGCATAACTTTGAATGAACTGTTTTTTAACGCCTTACCTCAAATGTGCAAATATATCCTAGATTTGATTAATTTGCCTACCTTTCTGTTTATACTCAGCTTGCATGTGTGTGTGTGTTTCTCTTTGTAATGCAAATTATAGTGAAATAAAAATAAATCGACTTTACTAACACTTCTCCGAAAAATAGTGGAGCATATCATTTTTAACCACTAGATGTCGCTCCGGTCATCTGTGTGTCATCATGCTGCATTATTCTCATGGACAACTGGATCCACCAATCTCTCCTGTTTTATGCCAATCTGTACTAATGTCTTCACTGCGAGACTACAAGGCTTTGATAGCAGGACACGCGCGTTTAAATCGCATCGACTGATATGTGAAACACTGTCGATCTGTGTAGTTTCACTTGAAACAAGTCAGCGTGCGAAGTTTTTGTTTGGACCTTTCCATCTTTGTGGACCATTACACGAAGGAAGCGGAAATTACCAACCAGCTTGCTTTTCTCAGAGAGCTGCTGCGGAGTTGGGAGAAATGGAAAAGCGATCACTATAACATGATTTTGCTGTTGTTAAGATTAAGTATTTATTTATAGATCTTTTTTTCGCTGCACAGCGGAAGACTCTGCACCTCTGGGTAAGTGATGTTTCTACACGAATGGGAAGAACATTCCATCCGTTTCAGACAGATCGATGGCTATCTGCAGAGAAAAGATTAAACAACATAGGAAATATTTTTATTAAGTTACTCACAGGTTTTATAAGTTTAGTGACAAAACAAAGGTATCTTCAAAATCATATAAATCACCTAACGACCCCCTTAAAATTCACATATAACTTGTACTAAAATGATATTAAAGCCTAACGTTATTATTACTCATCTACATCTGCAAATGTGCGACGAAAGTTAAGTGTAATGATGTCTGATTACAAGATGATGCTTGTGGCCCACTGCACATTATTCATTGTTCAGGGGATTCTCGCACTCACAGCAAGCTTGCAGCGTGTTGACAGCTTTATTATATTTGTAAAGGTCTTGTTACTAGTATGCTTAAACACAGCGAACTGTGTCGAATAGAAGATTGAACAAATCATTTAAGTGAGTCATTCTTGTTCAGTCCGATGCAGTGACTCGTATTTTGCTCATAATTCAGCGCGTGATTCCATTGGCCTTACTCTACTTAGGCCGCGAAGGAGCACATTTTATTGGTTGAATCGTGTGACCGAAAAAGACAATCTCGATTCGCGAATCGTAATAATTAGGCGAAAAGGGATGAAGAATTATGGCCATGCAAAATTAAAATGAAACAGTGACTTATACTGAACACATAGATTTTGTTTTATATATTTATTTTAAAAGTGATGCCTAAAAGTCATGTCTGTTGTGGTGTGTGACGACATTTTTAAGCACACTATTTTGTTGATTTGAGAAATGTTAACAATTAGCTTTAAAAAAGTTTCACATAGTGTAAATGTGTTATCTGGGTGAATACTATAGTAATCTTGTCACTGTGACTTGACCTTCACACACATCATTCACACTAGGGCTGCAGAATATTGGAAAAATCTAACATTGCCATATTTTGTTGTTCTGTAATATGTTGTGTGATATGAATACACTTACACAAGATGACTTGAATATCTCTATTAGGAAAGAAAAATAATTTTAAATTGATTGAGATGATTCTGTAAAGATGTGCATCTGCATAAAATAGGGCTGTTCGATTAATAGAAATTGAATCGCAATCGCAATTTGAAATGTTGCAATTGGAGTAGCCTGTGATATATATATATATATAATTTAATTTAATTACCCCCACCCAGAGTAAATGCATGACTGCCGTCTGTTTGTAATAGTCTTACTAGCCAATTGAGTGAGCACACTTTCGTTCTGCCCAATCAGAATTGCATACTCAAACTATGCATAAAACCCTCAATAAAAAAAAAAAAATTTAATTAAAAAATTAAAAAAGCATGGACAATTGAGATAATGGTGTCTTCTGCTTCAGAAGCATTAATAGACAAATTAATATAAAAGAAAAACAGGACTTTAGTAATCAGGGAACATTTTGGTTTCAAAGTCACAGGCACCAAACAAAAACAGGTAATTTTTTGAGAGCTGTCGCAAAATTGTTGCCATGGCTTACAGATTATTGAGCAAAAGGTTGACTACAAAAAAATTAAATTGCAAATCAAATCGCAAACCAATTAGGTATTTTCCCCATTACTTCGTTATATTAATTATGAATTAAAGTTATTAAAGATACAATTTCTTATGCCTGAATGCTTTTAAAATACTCATACAGTCACAGGCCTCAAAGACACATGCAAATGAGAAATTGTTATACAAACTCAAAATTGCGGATCCTGCTATGGGACTATTGCGAATGATCACACTGCAATATCGATACTGAAATGCTATATTGTGCAGCCTTAATTCACACACATTCTCCTGTTGCCTTCTGGTATAGTGAACCAGATAGCAGACATAAACATTCTGAATCAAAAACATCTTAAAGTAAACATCTATTTGATATCTGACAGGAGATGACTCTTGTATGTTTTTATATCATTAATTAATAATATGTAATTAATTGGATTATCTTTTAAATCTTTTTCCACAGACACATACACACAATTATGACATAATAATTCTTACTCCAACCATGCAAAAGCTGGCAAACCTATTCATAAATGCTGTTTTACTCCTGCTATATTGGAATCACAGGCAATAATCGAATCCCCACAACCGCTAGCATTTAAAAAAAGGCCTCACATTGAGTAATGAAGAATTAGTTTGTTGTAAAAATGTAAAAGACATTATTTGTTGTGACTTTACTATTGCTACTAATTTGTCAGACCTGCATGTCTCAAAATCTCACCAGCACTCGGTATTACCAAGGCACCCCACACCACCTCTCTTATTGGCTCATAGTCGGTTGCAAGAAGACGTCAGCTCGACCCAGTTATTCCCTTCCATTTGTATTTGCATACATTGCATGGCTGCTTCACACTAGATCTGATTAAAAGGCACCCAAATCTTTTCCTGATGCTTTGAACCATAGATAACTATATTTGGTTCAAAATCTCTGTGTCCGTTTGCAGGTTGACGGCAAGCAGACAAAGAAGATCTGTCACTCCACGGTCAGCAGGGACAAGGACAGAAATTAGGAGACTGAAGCAGATCAGTCAGAGGTTTTATTCTTGACTGTAGAAGCACTTCTTTTTGGACATTTATATCCGTCTCTTGTCCACAAAGTCATTGGCATGGAGGCAATAGCTAAATATGACTTCAAAGCTACTGCGGATGATGAATTAAGTTTCAAGCGAGGAGAGATTCTTAAGGTAAGTGCTGATTATTACTGTTGCATTTTTCATTCTTATCTTTCTATGTGATCAAGACATAAAGAACCTGATTTGTGCAGCGATTTCTAGATGTTCTGTTTACGTAATAGACACTGATTAACTTTAATGATTTATCTTTTCTGCTGGAGATACTGTTGTCCTAAAAAAAATGTAAATAAAAAAATCTTACACGTACCTTAGGAATGGTATTACAGAAAATTTTGGCAGTTTTAAAACCTTGACTTTTCCATACCGCAGTATACCTTGAAAATGGTATTGTTCCATGCCTAAGCGTTGCATTTCTTTTTTGTATCATGAAGCCTTGCAAATCTGCTTTAAACTGACCTAAAATTAAATGAATCTGTATTTCTGTTTTGAAAATTAACTTTTAATTTACATTTGTTATTTCCAAACTAAAAAATGTATAACTCAAATGTATAATCAAAACTATTTATATCCTATCAAACTATAGATCAGGGGCCGGTTTCAGAAAGGTGGTTAATTAAAAACTGATTATTTAATCCTGAAATGAGAGAAACTTTCCTTTTCAAAATTGGAGAAAGCAGGGTAAGTCAAACCTGTTTCTAAAAGAGAGGTAACTTTAACTCCGAGTCAGTTACCGTGGTAACTTGCTCCATGAACCTAACCTGTTCAGGAGCAGGTTTCATTCGGTCGACTCAGAGTTTCTGTCAGTCTCCTCCCCCTTTTTTTAAGTTGAAGCGGTATTTCTCGCCTTAGACTTACGTTTCGACCCACCTATTTTAATGCTCATTTTGGAGTTGCGCATAAAATGATTGATGGAAACGTCATGATGCACATAACTTCGAAAATACTTCTGTTTTTAAATTCTGTTTTTACTGTTGATATTTGGCACCCGTTAAATCAGGAAGTGGCAATTTTGTTCTCTTTGACTGGAAACGCTGCATTATTCGCACATTTGTGTGTTATTCCAGTTTTGCACATAAATGTAATTGATATATTTGGATGGAAACATTGCTATTGCCTACATTTCAGTCACACAAAGAACAGTCACGTACAAGAATGACTTGTCCTTTTATAATAAACAATTTGCTTAAATTTACTGACCTTCAACAGGGACATGTACTGTTACTAGATTAATGGGATTATTTCTCATTCTAAAAACTATTTTGTTAGTTCTGCTTACATTCTAAATGTCATATCAACCTCTATCACTTAAATAATAAATAGACAGACACACGAGTGCACTTTTAAATATATTAAAATAGATCAACGTGTATAAAAGTGGGAACGTGTGTAAAAATTGCGGTGTGCACGAATTCAGAGTTGGTTTACTCAAAGTTGATTGAGCCAACTTAGATCAGCTGTTCTGAAACCGAAAACTCTTGAGTTTTTAATCTCTTGGTAAATCAACTCAGAGTTCAAGTTTAAACTCCGAGTTGTTTGAACCTTCTTACTGAAACTGGCCCCAGGTTTTAACATGCACACAGGCAAACACAGTTTGGAGTGTTTCCCTCCAGAAGTTAAAATGGATAACATTGTATTGTTTAAAAAAAAAAAAAAAAAAAAGAGTTGTGGATGTTCCTCAAAGGGGTAGTTTCATTTACTTATGCCATCATTTACTTATCCTCCACTTTTTAGAAGAAATGATAAAGAAAACATCCATTGAGATTTTTTTCCTTTTAATGTGGATGTAAGTATCCAATAAGCTTTTTGTGTTTAACAGAAGAACAAAATTCAAGCATAAGATCACAAGTTTGTAATGTTGCAGATTTTTTCCAAAATGGTTCTTACCTGTGATTGTCCAACATTTTCACTGACTGCATGAAGGAGAGATTTCTTGACTAAACCAAGATATGCTGCGCAGCAGACCCAAAATTTGAGAATTTTTGAGCTCTCGGTTTATCAAATGCAAAAGTATCTTTCTGGTGAACTCGGCATGCCTTGCTCAACCCCACATTAAAAATTCAACATGGCTGCTACTTACAAGAAAAAGCCAGTCTTGTTTTTGAAGAAAGCCATAAATTTAAAATTATTTTGAAACCTTCAACTATAACGTGCAGCTCTGCACCTGAACATGTTGCAGTAGTGTATGTGAGGGTTTTCCTTTACATTATTTGGTGTAATATTAACACTGCTACAGCCAACCTAGGTGAACTCAAATTACGCACTGTGATGCTTTGTGTAAATTACTGTTGTAACTTCAGTTAAACTGTAAACAATCTACAACTAACAAACTAACAAAGGGTAAAAAGAGTATTATTTTCCTGTTCATCCATCAAATTTTTAAAGGGAAAATTTTTGAATTGTCTAACAAAAATTAAAAACTTTCAGCAGACAATAAGTAACTGCTAAAAGTCCTTTCTAAAACTGTATGACTACTTTTTGGCTGGTGCGTCAACCTTCACCACATGAGATTTTTTTGTTCTTTTTTTCATCTTTTTTTCATCTCAAATGTAAAACAAGCAATCATATTGTATGCGTTTTCAACCACCCCTAGATGTGGTCAAAAGTGGACATGCTTGCTTGTAATGGGACGACAATGCATCCTAATTGTAAATAGGTATAAATAGAGCCTCAAACAACTTGAACCGGTCGACTATTTCACTACTGTATTTCAATCAGTTGAGGAGCTGACTGTATTTATAAAAGATTACATAGAATACTACTTTCTGTTAATCTTGCCTGTGATTTATACATATTACGGTGCACCATTATGGATTTTAGAAAACTACTTGGTCACACTTTATTTTGATGTCCGTTTGTTGAATTTAGGTTACATTGCATTTACATGCCAACTAATTCTCATGAGGTTATAAGTAAACTGTTAGGTTAGGGTTAAGGTAGGGTTGCAAGGTTTCTTATAGTCAGTTAAATGTCTGTTGATGGAGCAGTATCAACAGATATTAAGCAGACCGTCTACTAATACTCAGTTGGACCATCAAAATAAAGTGTTACTAACTACTTTCCATGCGTTGTGTAACAAAGCTCTAAATCAGTGATAATGTCCAGCTGAGGTTTAAAGCGCACTGTATAATATATTTATATGTATATATTATAATCATCCTTAATTCGAATCTGTCTGTACAAAACATGGCCCACCCATTTGTTGTGTAGGCAGACCCAAAAAAACCTGAACCCCCTCTTTCCAACACTGTTGTGCGTTGTAGGGGATGAGATTGCATCGTGAAAATGTTCTGCACTGTGAGGGAAAACCATTTTTACTGCATAAAGACGATCATGTGAGGAAATAAATTGTTAAAGTTATCTTTCACAACAATACAACAGTATAGCCTCAACCTTTTTCTTTCATTTTGCTGATGAATGCTACACCAAGCTACCCTACAGCGCGATAGCCACTGGTTATTTGTTATTAAATGAAGGATCAATATCAAAGACTATTGATGTACATGGAACTTATTTGGACCAGCTTCTGTTGCATGCAAATATGTATTTAAATATCTGAGTTGTTCACATCATGCAGCATGTAGCTCCGGTTAACGGGCTAAGTCTAAAAACTTTTGCTATTGTGGCAGACAATACTAAACATATGTTGTTGTTATTACTTGGATTCATGTTGTAAAATAGAGTAATATCGTCACCTTAGAATTATAAGGTTCTATCTGACATTTTTGTCAAAAATGAGTGAACATATTATTAAATGACAAATTATTTACATTATAAGATGTTTTTTTTTCTAAGTTGTTTACATTTTAGGACTTTTTATTTAAAAACAAATGTTACACACATAATGTTATCTATATGGAATGCAAAAACTTATAAATGTAAAAATCTTATAATTTCAAGTTGACGATATGCTGTGTACAAACAAGTGTTGCACCGTTTACTGGTACTATGGTAGTACTGCGATACTATGGCTCCAAAATACTGGTCTGGTGGTGCTACTGTAGTTTGTAAATGGTTGTATCATCATTAACTGTTCTACAATAATTATGTTGCATGTGAAAAAATCACTAAAATACAAATTTGTGCCAACAAATACAAAATAGACCCCTATTTTATTTTGATATTAACAAATGCGTGGAGCCTTTTCAGACCTTAAAACTGTGTAGAATGTATGCCTTTTATGGTATTGCTGATTTTCCGACACTTCAGTTTAAACACCTCTTAATCAGTTAATTTCTATTCCTGTCAATAAAATTTAGTAGCTACAACGGCCGTAACAATCTCTTAAAAAAAAGCCAAAATATCAACACGAAATTATGAAACAATCGTTGAACACTACCGGTAGCCTAATTTTGTTGGGGGAAAAAAATTGTAACAAATTTCATTTGGCATCCTTTGTTTGTTAATTTTTATGTATTTTTTGTTGGTTAGTTACCTAGAAATTAAATACAAATAACGAATAACAATTAAGGTGAAGTGACATGTGTCAAGACAAATGTCGATATTTTTCCACAGCCAAAACACAAAACGGTTTTGTTGGATAAAAGTGAAATATTCAAAGTTTCAAATAATATCTTATTGTTAACTGTATGACCAAAAAAACTAGAATTGCATATTTTAAAGGGACGGTCTAGAGTGTAATTTTAAGGCAAAATTCAAAGCAATGTGTGCTCCTGCTTTACTTGTGGAAAATCACATAATTTTTTTTTTTATAGATTTTACTTTGATTATATACAGCTACTCCGCTTGCATGAAAACAACATATTTTCTAATTCCTCTGAAAGGCCCGCCCTCAAGAGATTAATCAGCTAACAATGTGCTGTGATTCGCAGATCAGCTCCACGTCACCAGTAAAGCGTCACTCCTTCACAAGCACGCGCTTGATTCTGCTGTGTAAATAGTGTCGGCCAGAGTAGCTGTTAGCTGTATCTGTTGCCTTAATCAGACAGAAAAGCTGTTTCCATCCAAAAATGCGAATGAACTTTATGCCCAAAACTGGATTATCGCATTAAAGACGTGCGAATAAAGCAGAGTTTCCATCCAACGAGTCAAATTGAACAAAATCGTCACTTCCTGATTGCTGGCGCCAAATATCAACAGTAAAAACTGAATTT